GGTGCTGAGGGCCAGGGTTTGGGGGTGGGATGGCAGGGGTAGGGGAGCGGTTGGGCTGGGGGAGCTTAAGGGGCTTTTCCAACCTAAACGATTCTGTGATCTTATGATTCCTGGGCTGCTCGGCTGTACCGACAGCAAGCACAAGAGCTTTTCGCTCAAAGATGGGACCTGCTTTAACTGGGGTGGGGGAAGGCTTATTGGTGTACTCAGAAGTGGTGCTCAGCCTCGCTCCAAACTAGCTCGAACTATCACTTTTCTCATATGTGCTCACGCTCCTGGAAGTTTCCCCTTCAGATTTCCCTTTTTCTCTCACTTTCCACATGAAACACGCTTGTTCTAGGCTGGTTTGAGCGTTTAGGTTTTGGTCCTGTTCTTTTATAATTTGAAACTTAATTAGTAATTGAGTAAGCTTGTTCCTGTCCTGAGAACTAGGCTTGCTAGGTGGGGAGGGGCAATGTTCAGCCCAGAAATAAATGGAAAATAAATGAAGCTTTAAAAAAAAAAAAAAAAGCCCCAAAGTGAAATGCTCCTTAATTGCTCTGAAATCCATCTGGTGCTCTGGGTGGTAAAGATAGAATAGAGTGTGTCATGCCGTGACATCCCACTTACAGATTATATAGATTTTGGTAAAACTTGCCTGTTGATATTACAGTTGGGATATCCTGATGATTCATGAAGTACCGTGGTTATTTCAGAAACAGAGAGCTTAAAATAAAACCGCCCAGACCCCTTCTGTGCTCAGTTCTCCCACAGCAGCCTGGCAGCAGAAGAGACTTTGCGCTGGAATTGAGTTGCAAAGCAACGATGAATTTAATTTGAGAGGCACTGTGTTGCTTCAGCCACCGAGGGCAGATGGTCGTACCTTGATGCTAGGTGTCTGAAATCGTGCGCAGTTAACAGGTATTTCTACAGACAGGTTTTATTGTGTTTATTTTCAGACCGGGCCAGGTATAAAGCGTGGCTGCAGTAGGAGCATATCCTAAATAGGGTTCTTGGATGGCCTTGGTGGTGCCTTGAGGATTGCCTCGCAATATCTTACTTGCCGGCTTTGGTATGGCTTTGTGGCGCGTTAGAAATTGCCGGCTTTGGCAGCAAACTGCTTAGCACAACTAATCTGAGAGTCACAGTCCTGCAGGAGCTGGAGGTGATAGCAGAGCTGCTCCCTGGGTGGGCTCCTCCAGGAGGGGGCAGAGCAGAGGTAACGTATTTGTACGTCGAGGTAGTTAAATGGCACTGTACGCTGAGTGATCGCAGGTGATGTTGTCCATGCGTGGTGGTGGTGGCGCGGGGAGGAGGTTTCTGAGCGTGACGTAGCTGGAGGTTCAGGTTCGTTTCTAAGAGAGCCTGGCAGGTTCAGCGGTTCGTACAAAGCTGTAGAAGCAGACAATAGATATCTCGCATCGCAACTAAGAGCAAACATCCATTTTGTGTGTGAAAGCTGTGCTTGTAGATAAATGGCGTGACTGTGCTTGGGTTGGACTGAAGGTTCATCTGTCCCACCACCTGTCCTGTGAAGCACCTGCAGCCCTGCGAAGATGAGATGTTTTCCACCTTTGGGAGGCTCCAGCCCCTGTGGAAGTTGCTTATGTACCCTGGGGCAAGCTCAGTCTCTGAGCCTTGAGCTTGTTTGCTCTTGCTGCTGAATCAGCCATGAAAAAGGTGGAATGGCCTTAAGTTTTTTTTGATGTCAAAGCTGACAAACGCTGGACTGAGCAGGCTGTCTCGAAGCTTCACGATGCTAACGTGGCCAAGGTCAAGGCGTCGATTAGGCCCAGCAGTAAGAGGGAAGGTTTTTTTTTTTTTTTTTTTTGTCTTTTCCAGATCTGCTTCATTGAGCACAACATCAATGAGATTAGAAACGTCTAAACCTCATCAGCCAGGAGCTGCATGAGTGTGATAATTAAGCTTGTTAATTCGCCAGAAAACATGGCCCAAAAGGGAACAGGGCAAGCATGTGGCAGTGCCACATGTGTGTACTCCAGCCTGGGAGATCTGCAGCTTGGGGACAGCCCGAGTAGGTTTTTTGGCTGCTCTTTCCAGGCGCTTCTCTTCTGAGCTCATCCTGTCTCTTCTTGGGTGTGCGTTACCTTGCAGTACCTGCAGCGTCGTGCGCCGAGGTGTCCCACTGCTCAGCTCCTGGGGTTGCATCTGAAGGGCTTCTCGTGGTGGTTTTTGAGCCTGCATCCTGCTCGTTTCGCCTGGCATCTCTAGGCCTTGCGCTGGAAGGATGCAGCCAGCAAACGATCGTCATTCATTAGCTTCTTGTCACCTACGGTTTCACTGAGCTCCAGCACATCACATGTTGCTCTGTTCCCGTGCCAGCTCTCCTGGAATAGATATTTTAAGATTTCTCCTCAGTGGAGCAGATGGAGGACGGAGGTGGTATGCAGCGGTGGGATAGTCGTGCTTCTCCAGTGGCTTATTTATCGTTGGTGTTACCGTAGTGCCTAGAAAGGGAGCGGGACTGCTGGGTATACAAATTAAACTGGGCGACGGGTGGAGACGCCAAGGTGAACAAGGAAACAGCGAAAACCAGTGGGTAGGAAGCGATAATAGTGGAATAAAAGACACTTTCTTGCAGGCCTTCAAAAGCCTTTGGAATCAACTTTGGATCCTCATGAAGACAAATGGAATTACTAACTTCGTGGAAGTTCCTGTGGCTCTTACTGCTGCAAGTCAGTTTGCTTTGATTCTTACACGTGCTGACGGAATGACGAGAAATCCAGTGTTGCGTTCTTAGTTCTTTTGCTCTGCTCCTGATCATTCCTCTGCATCCTTTCAGTAGTCCACTTTGTTTTGGCCACCGTGCCGTTGTTTAAAAATAACCCTCTGAATTCTTCCTCTACAGAGGTGGGTCGCTGCTCTGAGCTTAGGGTACCCGTGTTTCCCTTTTGGGAGTTGCACGTTTGCATCAGGCAGTGCTCCTGGGGGCTAGGAGAGAGGCTTGCTTGTTTTAAGGGAGCTTAAAATTCGGAGTCCTGTGTATCTCTGGCACCTACTGGGATTCCTTTAGGGCTCAACAGTTTAAAAAATCAGACTGACTTGTCCCTGGGTGAAATGGAAGCAAAAATTTGAGAGCTTTTCGGGTTTTTTTTTTGTTTAATTAATGCCCTTTTCAGACTGCTTCCAAAGGCTGTCTGCTCATTGAGGATGTGTACTACGCTGGCTGCGAGCATGAAAATTTTAGAGTGCAATTAATTTATGTTAATTTTTAGTAGCAAATAATGCCTGCAATTGTCTTGCCACCATCGCTGCTTTTGTAGGAACAAGGATTTTTATTTCATCTGGCAATTCTAGTATTGTGAACAAGGTTTTTTATTTGTTCTTGACATTTTTCTTCAGAATTGTTTGATGAAAATATGCATGTGTGTACTTTTTGGGTTTTTAACCGCTGTGGTTTGTGCCTAGCTCTTCTTAACTGATCAGAAACAATACAACCCGGCTGTGAGCCAAGCAGCCCGTCAGGGCAAACCAGCCTGGCACGTCCCCGGTGCTTCGCTCTATTGTGTCCGTGGAAGGCCGCCTCTGGATGGGAGGGGAGCGAAAAGCAAGAAAATGAAAAAATCTTGTTTAAAAGGAAAAGAAAAAAAAAGGCTTCTGTGTCATTTCCTACTGCAGCAAAGTCTCACTGAAATTCCCCCTTGGTGATGGGCTTTCCCTGGGGTCCAAGTGCTGGAGGTTTCTGTCTCGTGCCTTCTGTCCTGTATGGTTTTCTGCCAGCAGTTCTTGATGCTCCTCTCTGTTGAAGTGTGCGTCAAACTCCGCTGCAGCGAGAGCCCCTGAATTTTCCAGCTTCTTCCTTTGTACAGTTGGTTGGAGAAGTGGTTGCAGTAATCGCTTCTGCAGCCTGGTCTCCTCTGCTTCCCCACGCTGCGGAGCTGTGACCTTCGTGGCCTGTGCTGTGTTTAACTTCAGGGAGCTGCTTGATTGCAGACACCAGGAACAAGATTGCTTTTCTGGGAAAAAAACTCGTCTCTGCATTTTCAAACAATGAAATTCCTCAAAATGGCTTTTCTAAGGCATAAGGCAGGCACAGGAGCTTACACGTACACCGGCCTCTCAGCAGCCCAGGTCTGTGCCTCCTCCTAAAATAGGAGTTGGTGTTTATCAGTGAGGGAAATCATCTTGTTTACATGGGAGCGCTGGAATATTATTTTCGGTCTGAAGCCTGGTTTGTGGGAATTCTTGCTTCCTATTTCTTTAGGGCCAATAACACGCCTCTCGCCATTAATTACCACGTACGCTCTCAGCAGTGCGAAAAGGGGTTTGTGTGCACCTAACGGTGCTAATTTGCTTCGAGTGAGGTTTTCTCTGCCTTTGGGCTAAGCCCGAAGCAGGTTTTGCAGGGAAGGAGACAGCAGCGTGCCCGGGGAAGGCAGCTCCTGTGCCCGGGTGCTGCAGGAGGTGCTGGTGTCCACAGCCCCCAGTGATGGTGCTGGTGCAATTTGCATCTTTTGCGAGCTTGCTCTGCTGTCACCAAGGATGTCATCCTGGTGCCTGGGGAGAAGGGAGAAGGATGGGTAGCATGTAGTGACAAGTTCTCCCTAAGTGTTTTCAGTACACGACTGTGGGGAATTGCACCAAGACATGGGCTCTGTTCACTGGAAGAACTTTTAATTCCTTACTTCGTTGTTTCTTAGCTTCTCAACCTCGTGAATGGTCCGTAGGCTCCTATGAGGACTTTGCAAAGCAGCCACATGTATTCTGTTCCATGATGCACAAAGCATTGGTTTTGGGGAGCCATTACTGTGGTGTACACGGGGACAGGGCTCGAAATGAAGTTGCTTGTGACTCTGGTGGTTTTGCAGTAAACTAACAGAAAGCCTGACACTCCCTTCTGTTGCAAAACACTTTTGCTTTAACGCTAGGAACGATTTGCTTTCCCTGGGGGTGGCCTTGGGGAATAGCAACCAGCCTGGGATTTTTTTGGAAAGTGAATATGATTTAACATAAGGGTTTTTTTCACTTTTTTTTTTTGAATGTTAGGTTTGTGCTGGCTGTGGGCAGCGCAGTCTTCGATGCGATGTTTAATGGTGGAATGGCCACAACTTCTACAGAGATTGAGCTGCCCGATGTGGAGCCTGCTGCCTTCCTAGCTCTGCTGAAGTAAGCTTCTTCTGACGTACGGTATAACTGAAACGAACAGATTGATTGTAGAGAAGGATATTTTTCGTTAAAGCAGTGGTCTATTTTGTAGAGTGGGGATCATTAAGCGTCTAAATAAAAATGCCTCTTTGTTGACGGGTTCAAAGGCGTTTAAATGCTGGTGTTAAATCCCTCTTTCCC